GGGATATTTAAAACATCATTATCAATACTACAGACCAAATTTAATAAACCATCTTTTTTTTTTTTTTTTTTTGTCTTTTGGTATATTCTGTCATTTAAAATATGCCTACATTTGCTGCTGTCGGGGATACTGAAATGTCCGTCATACTTAAAATCCAATCACTATAATTACATTTCAGAGATCTCTACGGACTGTTGTCATTGCCTGCATGTGTACGTAGTATAAGATGCGGGTCTATGTTACGAGGCCATCGCGTCATAAACACTTATTATTTCAGTTCAATCTGTCATATTATAACTTAATTTTCTCTTATACATTTTTCCCAGTTATTGTTCTGTACAGCCTGCATGTGATAAAACAGCATTAAAAACAGAAAAGGTTTATATGGTAATAACGACATAAAGACAGCTTTCTCTTGCTTAATAAGGGATCAAACACATCGCCTAGTCTCCTGTGTGTACACGACCCTACAGTCTCCAGTCTCTATACATCCCTACAGTCTCCAGTGTGTATACAACCCTACAGTCTCACGTGTCTATACAACCTTACAGTGTCCAGTATCTATACAACCCTACAGTCTCCAGTATCTATACAACCCTAAAGTCTCCAGTATCTATACAACCCTACAGTCTCCAGTGTGTACACAAAACTACAGTCTCCAGTATCTATACAATCCTACAGTCCCTAGTGTATACACAAAACTACAGTCTCCAGTATCTATACATCACTACTGTCTCCAGTATCTATACAATCCTACAGTGTCCAGTGTATACACAAAACTACAGTCTCCAGTATCTATACATCACTACTGTCTCCAGTATCTATACAACCCTACAGTGTCCAGTATCTATACAACCCTACAGTGTCCAGTATCTATACAACCCTACAGTCTCCAGTATCTATACAACCCTACAGTCTCTAGTATCTATACAACCCTACAGTATCCAGTATCTATACATCACTACTGTCTCCAGTATCTATACAACCCTACAGTGTCCAGTATCTATACAACCCTACAGTCTCCAGTATCTATACAACCCTACAGTCTCCAGTGTATACACAAAACTACAGTCTCCAGTATCTATACAACCCTCCAGTCTCCAGAATCTATACAACCCTGCAGTCTCCAGTATCTATACATCACTACTGTCTCCAGTATCTATACAACCCTACAGTGTCCAGTATCTATACAACCCTACAGTCTCCAGTATCTATACAACCCTACAGTCTCCATTATCTATACAACCCTACAGTCTCCAGTATCTATACAACCCTAAAGTCTCCCGTGTGTACACAAAACTACAGTCTCCAGTATTTATACAACCCTACTGTCTTCAGTCTCTATACAACCCTTCAGTCTCCAGTGTGTACACAAAACTACAGTCTCCAGTATCTATACAACCCTACAGTCTCCAGTGTCTATGCAACCCTACAGTCTCTAGTGTCTATACAACCCTACTGTCTCCAGTATCTATACATCCCTACAGTGTCCAGTATCTATACAACCCTACAGTCTCTAGTGTCTATACAACCCTACAGTCTCCAGTATCTATACAACCCTACAGTGTCCAGTGTTTACACGACCCTACAGTCTCCAGTATCTATACAACCCTACAATCTCCAGTATCTATACAACCCTACAGTCTCCAGTATCTATACAACCTTACAGTGTCCAGTATCTATACAACCCTACAGTCTCCAGTATCTATACAACCCTACAGTCTCCAGTATCTATACAACCCTACAATCTCCAGTATCTATACAACCCTACAGTCTCCAGTGTTTACACGACCCTACAGTCTCCATTGTTTACACGACCCTACAGTCTCCAGTGTCCTGTATCTTCACAACTTGCTTCTGGTACCTTAAGCAGGTACAGGTTCATATTATAGATAATCAAGCGTGATTTTCATCTGAATATAAATGTATCTTCATATTGTCTATCGCAAATGACCAGGACTTTGTTCTTATTGATACTTCAGCAAAGTTCCAGGTTCAAAAGTTGGTATCGTCGAGGATACTTAAATCATTTATCCAGTCGTTAATCGTTAAGGTGTTGTAACAGAATTAAATATACTTGTTCTTTATTGATCAAGTTTTTCCAATGTATATCCGGTGTTAATGTTTACCAATATACATGTATGTCCGGTATTGATGTTTACCAATATACATGTATATCCGGTATTGATGTTTACCAATATACATGTATATCCGGTATTGTATATGTTCAACTCTGCACAACAAATAACAAAACCAAACGATAGGAAGGCGACCAAATCCTCGGGGATCTCTTGTCATAAGTAAGGATTTCATAAAACTTTGTAGTCGAAATGAAATATTGTTTTAAAAAAAACAATGCATATCTTATACAAATAACCATGAGCCTGGTGACATTTGGCCCTTCCCAATATATTTCATTTTTGGTATTGATTCCAATTTTCTCACAGTGAGGCCCACACACATTCAAGGTCTATCTAGATATGATATCCCATGTGGAATTTGCAATGCCACACAATACATCAAAATATCAGACAATCCTATCAATATATCAGTAAAACATAATTAAAAAAACCCGCACCGTGTCATTTGTCTTCATTGCTTGGAATTTTAGTCATTTTTAAAACACGAGGTAGCGTCAGTTTTATGAAAGTTTAAAACATTTCGATATATAAAAAACTTAAAACTGGGCTGTCTTCCGAAAGTTATGAGAACCTAGATATCTTATAATATAAAGAAGCACAAAATAGCAATGATTTGTGGTTTTTATTATACATCTGTATTTGTGAACGAAACGAATTAAATTATGGAGAAATTCTTTGTTGCTTCAATTTCATTTTAATATATAATTTGAATGTTTGTTTTGAGTTTAAATCTGCATTAATAGGCATCGTCTCCAGGGCCTTCATATACAATTAAAAGATTTTCAGTCACCGCGGACGTCTACTGACCATTCTGATTTGATGAGAACACCAGATAGTCCATACATACATTTAACTGACACTCTACACACCATTCTAGTCATTTATAAACTACAAAGATCTAGGATTTGTCCTAATGAATAAGAAGGTGGTTTTGACTTGGTCACCGTAGTGATATAATGAAGTATTCTTGACAACCGTAGTGACGTTAATGAACTAAACCTGGTCACCATAGTGATGTAAGAGGTTAAGATTTGGTTATATATGTAATAGCGAAAGAACTTAACCTGGTCACCATAGTTAAAAATACTCACCTGATTACAATAGTGACTTCTGATGTCTGATCTTGATACCTATGATACACACTGATGTAAGAGCTCAGAACTTGATCACCATGGTGATGTAAGATGTCTGAACGTGATCAACATGGTGATGTAAGATGTCGGAACGTGATAACCATGGTGATGTAAGATGTCTGAACGTGATCACCATGGTGATGTAAGATTTCTGAACGTGATCACCATGGCAATGTAAAACTTCTGAACGTGATCACCATGGTGATATAAGATTTCTAATCGTGATCACCATGGTGATGTTAGAGTTCTGAACGTGATCACCATGTTGATGTAAGATTTTTGAATGTGATCACCATGGTGATGTAAGATGTCTAAACGTTATGACCAAAAGGGATGAAACATTTTGTTGACGGCGACATGGTCACCATAGTGATCGTTATATTGCTATTCGGGACGTGATCACCATAGTATTGTATGTGTAGAAAATAAATTTGAAAGTCTACTGACTTTAAAACAGATGATTTCACGTCTCATGTAATACAGTCGGCTTTAACCAAATGCATATGTTTGGAACGATAATAAAACCGCAACTGCTTGACACGTAGAGAATGAATTAAAGCCTTACACACAAACACCTGAGTCGGTCTACTCCTCCAGTTCTAAGGCGTCCACCTAGTTGAGAATGGGTGGACGGAGGCGATAGCCATGAAGCGTACGATCTAGAGAGATAGTACAAGACATTACAGGACTCTTCCACATTGTACTGTAATTAGGTTATGTCACTCTTCCATAAAACGGACAAATCAATGTTGTTTAACGGTGAGTACACGTGATTAACAGCGACATTAATACATTCCTATGAGACTAAGCTGCGATGTACCAGGATATGACCTCTTCCGATCTGCCAAGTTCTGTAACGTTCATCGTACAACTAGACACGGCGTTGCTACTTTCCGTTACATTGTTATGAAGATTGCTGACAATCACTCAAGACAGAAAGTTTGGATTGGCTATCAAGTTCTACAAAGAGTTCCAATGTACATACAAAAGGAAATTGTATTTTTACTTCTAGAACAGAGGAGGCAGGGGTCATCTTCTTGTTATTATTTCAATAGACACAAAAACAACCATGCATCAGCGAATAGGATGTTGAATTGGTGATTCCGAGTTATGTATCAAACAAGCAAGAGCAAACTAGGAAAACTGGGTAACGTAGAAGGTAGAGGAAGGAAAACGCCTGGGGAAAGGAGTAGGAGAAAACCTAGGGGAAGGAGGAGGATAAAGCCTAGGGGAAGGAGGAGGTCTAGGGATAGGAGTAGGTCTAGGGGAAGGAGTAGGATAAAGCCTAGGGGAAGGAGGAGGTCTAGGTAAAGGAGGTGGTCTAGGGGAAGGAGTAGGAGAAAGCCTAGGGAAAGGAGAAGGATAAAGCCTAGGGGAAGGAGGAGGTCCAGGGAAAGGAGGAGGTCTAGGTAAAGGAGGTGGTCTAGGTAAAGGAGGTGGTCTAGTGAAAGGAGGAGGTCTAGGGATAGGGGAAGGTCTAGGTAAAGGAGGTGGTCTAGGGGAAGGAGTAGGATAAAGCCTAGGGGAAGGAGGAGGTCTAGGGAAATGGGGAGGTCTAGGTAAAGGAGGTGGTCTAGGGAAGGAATAGGAGAAAGCCTAGGGAAAGGAGAAGGATAAAGCCTAGGGGAATGAGGAGGTCTAGGGAAATGGGGAGGTCTAGGTAAAGGAGGTGGTCTAGGGGAAGGAGTAGGAGAAAGCCTAGGGAAAGGAGAAGGATAAAGCCTAGGGGAAGGAGGAGGTCCAGGGAAAGGAGGAGGTCTAGGTAAAGGAGGTGGTCTAGTGAAAGGAGGAGGTCTAGGGATAGGGGAAGGTCTAGGTAAAGGAGGTGGTCTAGGGGAAGGAGTAGGAGAAAGCCTAGAGAAAGGAGGAGGTCTAGGGAAAGGAGAAGGAGAAAGTTTAGGGAAAGGAGGAGGTCTAGGTAAAGGAGGAGGCATAGGGAAAGGAGGAAGTCTAGGGAAAGGAGAAGGCATAGAGAAAGGAGGAGGCATATGGAAAGGAGGAGGTCTAGGGAAAGGAGGAGGCATAGGGAAAGGAGGAGGTCGAGGGAAAGGAGGAGGCATAGGGAAAGGAGGAGGTCTAAGGAAAGAAGGAGGCATAGGGAAAGGAGAAGAAGAAGGCCTATGGAAAGGAGGAGGTTTAGGGAAAGGAGGTAGTCTAGGGGAAGGGGAAGGCCTAGGGAAAGGAAGAGGAGAAAGCCGAGGGAAAGGAGGAGGTCTAGGGGAAGGGGAAGGCCTAGGGGAAGGGGAAGGCCTAGGGAAGGAGAAGGCCTAGTTGAAGGGGAAGGCCTAGGGAAAAGAGAAGAGAAAGCCTAGGGAAATGAAGAGGCCTAGGGAAAAGGGGAGGTCAAGGGGAAGGATGAAGTCTAGGGAAAGGAGAAGGAGAAATCCTAGGGAAAGGAATAGGTCTAGGGAAATGAGAAGGCCCAGGGAAAGGGGGAGGTCTAGGGGAAGGATGAAGGAGAAAGCCTAGGGAAAGGATGTGGTCTAGGGAAAGGAGAAGGAGAAAGCCTAGGTGAAGGAGAAAGCCTAGGTGAAGGAGAAAGCCTTGGTGAAGGAGAAGGCCTAGGGAAAGGAGGAGGTCTAGGAAAAGGAGAAGTCCTATGGAAAAGAGGAGGTCTAGGGAAAGGAGGAGGTTTATGGGTAGGGGAAGGACTATGACCGTCCTTTTAGACAAGCATTATTAAGGTGGTCAAAGCTAGGATATGTTGGAAATGTAGTAAATCTTGTAGAACTTGGAGCTAGATCATGGGAACTGTCACACCGCAATGGAATTACTCATGATTCAATACGTTTTGTGACAAATCTTCGTTGACAGTAGATGGTCTTGATAGAATTGCGATGTGGTGATCCTCTAGGATTGCGTATCAAGGTCTGTTACGCTCTATTAAGATCTGATAAACTTTACTACACTTTAGTACAATGTCTAAGTTCTGTGAAGTATAAACCTCAGTCGGCTTGGTCGATTTCACGGTCCCCCCAGACCACCGTGATTCCATCCTATGACTCTTCACGGTCTCTATAATCGTGGTTATCGTGTTGCCCCATGTACACCTAGTATTAGTATTGTCTGAACGTCCGTGTAACATTATAGAACTGGAGACGTAGTACCTAGCGGTTTAGTCTTGTAGAAACATACTAATGCCGTGGTTTTCGACGTTCGAGGCAACGTTCACTGCAGGTTTCAACAATATTGATTTCGATGTTTTAAAAGGGAGGGACGTATCAAACAGAACGTTTGTTGAGTCTTGAGCTATTGGCTTGGCTGTTTTGAGGTTTTCGTTTCCGTTCACGTAACTACGCCTTGATTGAGTAGAAAGCCTCATAGAAGAATTTTACACTACTATTTAGTGCTATGAGGCAATCCAACGACACAGCGACCTTTGATACATTATATACGTTCTCTATGCAGAATATGCTGCCGCTAATACTTTAGGTCGCGACAATGTTCAGCGTGAAGAGGGTTTACACGTTTTTGACTTGAACCTTGTATATTTTAGGAATAAATTTGCCGTAAAGCTGTGATAACGGATGCTTACGAAATTGTTATTGAAAATTATATCATTCTCGTTTTATATTTCCAGGTGCTGTTTCCCTTATATCACACGATTCTATGGCCTTGGTAGCTGAGTAGTACTACGTCCTTTTCCAGTTGACGTATAACAATCCTAGATGGCTGCTATAAACGCAACGGTGCCCGAGGCGTCCTATAGCGTGCTTGGTAATGCTACCGTCTTATCTGATGGTTTACTTAACACAACTGCCTTCGACTACGTCTGTTTGGATGCGCCGGACGAGTACGCAGTCTTCTACGAATGGGCACAATTCGTTACCGGACTCATAATATACCCCATTGTGTGCATGGTTGGTATCATCGGAAATACACTGACGTTAATCGTGCTCGGCCACAAGGACATGAGAACAGCCACCAATGTGTATTTGTCTAGTCTGGCTGTTTCCGACACTATCAAACTTCTAAACGATCTCATGTATTTCGTTTTAGTTGTTTTAAAGGTAGAAAATCTTGATGACGATAATAAGATCATATTTAACTTTTACCCGTATGCGCATTATATATTCAACATGTCGGTGTGTGTGACCGCCTGGCTTACAGTGTCCGTGGCCGTAGATCGATATATTGCGGTTTGCCACATCACAAAGGCCAAAGAGATGTGCACTATTGCGCGTGCGCGTATCGTGAGTACGGTAGTGTTTGTGTCTATGATCACCCTGTCCGTACCCTCCGCATTACGGTACAAACCCATGCTTCAGCACGATGACCGTCTGAACGTGTCCTGCTATAAAATTCAACAGAGCACACTTGGTGAAAATGACCAGTTCATGACCCCATACACCTGGGTCCAGAACTCACTGCGTTCCATCATACCACTTATTGTCCTCATCTTCCTCAATGCGAGGATCATTAATGAGCTAAGGAAACAACGTGTGCCGGGCAAAAAGCTCTCGTCGAGGAACAGGATTACCCTCATGCTTATAGTCATCATTCTGTGCTTTGTCGTGTGCATTATGCCAGATGCAGTGATGTCGTTGTTTTTTGGATTTGGATATGTTGATGAGACCAACTTGGTTCGAGGAATACGCGAAATCACGGATTCACTTCTAGCTGTCAATTCAGCTTTGAACTTTTTACTTTACTGTATTATGAGCAAGGTGTTCCGAACGACATTTATAAAGATATTTTGCAAGAGTAGTACAGTTCAGCGAAAGGTTTCTGAGCGCGTGTTGCAAAACGGCCATAGTGGTTGCGCCGTGTCAGTTGCAAGAAAAGACAGCAACAGTTGCAGTGGCAATAACAACAAGGACTCTTTGGAAACGTACGTCTAGAGATTGTGTACAGTGATAATAAACTCCGTAAAGAGGTCAGGATAGACACGTGACCATACACTAAGACGTAAAGCAAGAGGTCACAGTAGACACGTGACCACACACTAAGTCGTAAGCCAAGAGGTCACAGTAGACACGTGACCACACACTCAGCCGTAAGCCATGAGGTCACAGTAGACACGTGACCACACACTCAGCCGTACAAAACAGCAAGCGGTAACCGTAGACACGTGACGATACACACAGCCCTAAAGCAAGATGTCACAGTAGACACTTGACTATACACTCAGCCTTAAAGCAAGAAGATACAGACAACATGGACTTAATGTCTTGCAGTCAGTCGTACATACAATAACAGACACGTGCACGTAACAATACATTCATAAGGACGTAAGACATACTTATTTCCACACAATGCGTTAAGCATTTCGACAAGTCTTGCCGATGTTATGAAAACAATTTATAACATAAACTTAACTCTATTAGTCTTGATAGGGTGATTTCTCCACTACTTCACATGGACAAATGTCTGTACTGATATCCAAATGAATTATAACACTAAAAAAGATGATATCGTAATTTCGTCGTAAGGTGTATTTTGAAGATCTATTCAGATAACTTAAGCGATATTTACGAGTGAAGATAAGAACGAAACGAAATGTGGTCTTTTTCTTAGAACAAATTGTGGAATTGAAGAAACGCATCGTTTGCTCAAAGGGAAGGATATGTGATCTTTCGTCGTTTCATGAATGTATTACAGTTACAGTTACGTGTAGATGACAACGACTCATCTGTCTGATGAGTGAGGTACTTACGTAATATCGTCTTTCAACGTATCATGCGGTAAGATGTTGGAGGTGCGATCATACGGGTGTCATTGAGCTAGGTAAAACACAAGGATCTGTACAGAAGTATGGCAGTGTTCGATACAAAACACAATGGAACAGGTACAATAAGCATATATATTTTTGACACGCCAATCAAAATATTAATACACTGAATAGTGTTGCAAACTATTTTTTGCTATCATATTCTTTGATGTCGATCGTCCGCCTTATAGTATGATGTCATATCAAAGCCATCTCATCGCCTAAACAATATCTTTTAGCTCGACCCACGTGTCATGACTGTAATATCACAGAATTCTCCCCCGTTTTAATCCACGTGTCACGGTTGTAATATCACAGAATTCTCCCCTTTTTAAATCCTTTGTCATGAAGAAACATCATGGAATTCTACTCGTTTCAACCCGCATGTCATGATGAAATATCACGGAATTCTTCCCGTTTATCCCGCATGTCATGATGAAATATTATGGAATTCTCCCCATTTTAACCAACATGCCATGATGAAATATTATGGAATTCTCCCCATTTTAACCAACATGCCATGATGAAATATCACGGAATTCTCCCCATTTAAACCGGCATGTCATTATGAAATATTATGGAATTCTCCCCGATTTAACCCGCATGTCATGATGTAATATTATGGATTTCTCCCCGATTTAACCCGCAGGTCATGATGTAATATCACGGTATTCATCCCATTTAAACCGGCATGCCATGATGTAATATAACGGAATTCTCCCAATTTTCACCATCACGTCATGATGATTCTCGACATTTTATCCCACATGATATAATATTGTATTGCAGTTTTCTTTCTGCCATTACCCGCATGTCTTATTTTTATATCACATCATTCTGCCCATCATAATCCCCAGATTATTGAATAATGCTGTTTATTTTCTCTACCTATATCCCTTTCCATTCCTAAACCTCACATCTAACGTGCGTGTCACAACCCTTTGTTAGTCCTAATGTAACTCTCATGATGCCAAATCAGAGTCCTCTCCTCATCCTAACACTCATTCTTTACATTCTCCAAGTACTAATTCTCGTGTCACCATGTCATATCACACCTTCTCCACATCGTATTTCACCCTCATCGTGTCATATCACACCTTCTCTACATCGTATTTCAATCTCATCATGTCATATCACACTTTCTCCACATTGTATTTCACTATCATCATGTCATATCACACCTTCTCCACATCGTATTCACTCTCATCATATCACACCTTCTTCACATCGTATTTTACTCTCACCATGTCATATCACACCTTCTCCACATCGTATTTCACTCTCACCATGTCATATCACACCTTCTCCACATCGTATTTCACCCTCACCATATTACACCTTCTCCACATCGTATTTCACCCTCATCATGGCAGATCACACCTTCTCCACATCGTATTTCACCCTCACAATATCACACCATCTTCACATGATATTTCACCCTCACCATGTCATATTACACCTCCTCCGCATCGTATTTCACTCTCAACATATCACACCTTCTCCACATCGTATTTTACTCTCATCATATCACACCTTCTCCACATCGTATTTCACTCTCATCTTGTCATATCACACCTTCTTCACGTCGTATTTCATCCTCATCATGTCATATCACACCTTCTCCACATCATATTTCATTCTCATTATATCACACCTTCTTCACATCGTATTTCACCCTCATCGTGTCATATCACACCTTCTCCACAAAATATTTCACTCTCATCTTGTCATATCACACATTTTCCACATCGTATTTCAATCTCATCATGTCATATCACACCTTCTACACATCGTATTTCACCCTCTCCATATCACACCTTCTCCACATCGTATTTCACTCTAACCATGTCATATCACACCTTCTCCACATCGTATTTCACTCTAACCATGTCATATCACACCTTCTCCACATCATATTTCATTCTCATTATATCACACCTTCTTCACATCGTATTTCACCCTCATCGTGTCATATCACACCTTCTCCAAAAAATATTTCACTCTCATCATGTCATATCACACCTTCTACACATCGTATTTCACCCTCTCCATATCACACCTTCTCCACATCGTATTTCACTCTAACCATGTCATATCACACCTTCTCCACATCGTATTTCACTCTAACCATGTCATATCACACCTTCCCCACATCGTATTTCACTCTCAACATGTCATATCACACCTTCTCCACATCGTATTTCACTCTCACCATGTCATATCACACCTTCTCCACATCGTATTTCACCCTCACCATGTCATATCACACCTTCTCCACATCGTATTTCACCCTCATCGTGTCATATCACACCTTCTCCACATCGTATTTCACTCTCATCGTGTCATATCACACTTTCCCTTGGAGAAATGCACTATTATAAAGCCATATCACTCCTTCCCATCGTAATCAACTACCAATATGCATATCATTCCTCCATTCCGTCATTATGTCCATCCTCATCTCATTATCTCATACCATTTCTTCTCCCCGTCATTATCCTCCTGTCATATTGTCATATCACATCGTTTCATTGTCGTAATCTCATGTGTCATATCGCAGCCTTTTCCCTGTCGTAATCTCATGTGTCATATCACATCGATTCCCTGTCGTAATCTCATGTGTCATATCGCAGCCTTTTCCCTGTCGTAATCTCATGTGTCATATCGCAGCTTTTTCCCTGTCGTAATCTCATCTGTCATATCGCAGCCTTTTCCCTGTCGTAATCTCATGTGTCATATCACATCGATTCCCTGTCGTAATCTCATGTGTCATATCACATCGATTCCCTGTCGTAATATCATGTGTCATATCGCAGCCTTTTCCCTGTCGTAATCTCATGTGTCATATCGCAGCCTTTTCCCTGTCTTCAAGGCGAAGCCGCAATGATATGAGGTGGTAAGTCACATGTCATTACGTAATTTAACAACATACTATCCGTGGTATAGATTGCTTTAATGGGGGTCATGTGATTTATATAATGCCTTTGTTGAATGTCGTGTGAGGTATGGGTGTCTTTGTTGAATGTCGTGTGAGGTATGGGTGTCTTTGTTGAATGTCGTGTGAAGTATGAGTGTCTTTGTTGAATGTCGTGTGAGGTATGGGTGTCTTTGTTGAATGTCGTGTGAGGTATGAGTGTCTTTGTTGAATGTCGTGAGAGGTATGAGTGTCTGTTGAATGTCGTGTTAGGTATGGGTGTCTTTGTTGAATGTCGTGTGAGGTATGGGTGTCTTTGTTGAATGTCGTGTGAGGTATGGGTGTCTTTGTTGAATGTCGTGTGAGGTATGGGTGTCTTTGTTGAATGTCGTGTGAGGTATTGGTGTCTTTGTTGAATGTCGTGTGAGGTATGGGTGTCTTTGTTGAATGTCATGTAAGGTATGGGTGTCTTTGTTGAATGTCGTGTGAGGTATGGGTGTCTTTGTTGAATGTCGTGTGAGGTATGGGTGTCTTTGTTGAATGTCGTGTGAGGTATGGGTGTCTTTGTTGAATGTCGTGTGAGGTATGGGTGTCGTTGTTGAATGTCGTGTGAGGTATGGGTGTCTTTGTTGAATGTCGTGTGAGGTATGGGTGTCTTTGTTGAATGTCGTGTGAGGTATGGGTGTCTTTGTTGAATGTCGTGTGAGGTATGGGTGTCTTTGTTGAATGTCGTGTGAGGTATGGGTGTCTTTGTTGAATGTCGTGTGAGGTATGGGTGTCTTTGTTGAATGTCGTGTGAGGTATGGGTGTCTTTGTTGAATGTCGTGTGAGGTATGGGGGTCTTTGTTGAATGTCGTGTGAGGTATGGGTGTCTTTGTTGAATGTCGTGTGAGGTATGGGTGTCTTTGTTGAATGTCATGTAAGGTATGAGTGTCTTTGTTGAATGTCGTGTGAGGTATGGGTGTCGTTGTTGAATGTCGTGTGAGGTATGGGTGTCTTTGTTGAATGTCGTGTGAGGTATGGGTGTCTTTGTTGAATGTCGTGTGAGGTATGGGTGTCTTTGTTGAATGTCGTGTGAGGTATTGGTGTCTTTGTTGAATGTCGTGTGAGGTATGGGTGTCTTTGTTGAATGTCGTGTGAGGTATGGGTGTCTTTGTTGAATGTCGTGTGAGGTATGGGTGTCTTTGTTGAATGTCGTGTGAGGTATGGGTGTCTTTGTTGAATGTCGTGTGAGGTATGGGTGTCTTTGTTGAATGTCGTGTGAGGTATGGGTGTCTTTGTTGAATGTCGTGTGAGGTATGGGTGTCTTTGTTGAATGTCGTGTGAGGTATGGGTGTCTTTGTTGAATGTCGTGTGAGGTATGGGTGTCTTTGTTGAATGTCGTGTGAGGTATGGGTGTCTTTGTTGAATGTCGTGTGAGGTATGAAGCTGTCGTATCAAACCTAAATAATAACTCAAACTCTTGTTTATATTGTTTTTACTGAATACCACATGTCGCAAGACGTTTTCCTGACGTCATGGTTTTAAGTGAGGAGGATATCACTTTTGAAAGTGATTGTTTTGCTTGATACTTATATTTTTTCTTTGTGTCAAAGTATAAATAATATTATTTGGATGCACAACAGCAGCTGATCTTTTCCTTCAGACTGTTTGTCTTGGTTCATCGTTTTTTGAAGTGTTCACAATCTCAGTGACGTAATCTGGAACACGTAAGAGTGTTTATAATTCGCGAGTCTGAAAACCCACAGAGAAATATCAGGATAAAGTGTCCATTCATTGATATGAGAAATCAGGTGGAGGATAAAATGATTGAGAGGAGGTATTATTTATATTTCACACACTCTCGTATAAATATCAATTTATAAATACAAAGATGTTAAAAATGTGGCCCTGCTTACAGTAGAAAATTGGTGAACACTTTACAAAAATAACATGAAACAGAAGTTCAAACATACCCATCATTGTTCCTATGATTAAAATAGTCTGAGGTTTCCTTATCACAGACAAAACAATCTTAGTCTGATCACTGAATGATTGAAAAGAGAAATCAGTCGAATGTTTGAGTAAGGATAACAACAGGAGGGTCGAATGATTGATAACAAATAACAACAGGAGGGTCGAATGATTGATAACAAATAACAACAGGAGGGTCGAATGATTGATAACAAATAACAACAGGAGGGTCGAATGATTGATAACAAATAACAACAGGAGGGTCGAATGATTGATAACAAATAACAACAGGAGGGTCGAATGATTGATAACAAATAACAACAGGAGGGTCGAATGATTGATAACAAATAACAGCATGAGGGTCGAATGATTGATAACAAATAACAACATGAAGGTCGAATGATTGATAACAAATAACAGCATGAGGGTCGAATGATTGATAACAAATAACAACAGGAGGGTCGAATGATTGATAACAAATAACAACAGGAGGGTCGAATGACTGAGCAAAAATGACAGCATGAGAGTCGAATGATTGATAACAAATAACAACAGGAGGGTCGAATGATTGATAACAAATAACAACAGGAGGGTCGAATGATTGATAACAAATAACAACAGGAGGGTCGAATGATTGATAACAAATAACAGCATGAGGGTCGAATGATTGATAACAAATAACAACATGAAGGTCGAATGATTGATAACAAATAACAACAGGAGGGTCGAATGATTGATAACAAATAACAACAGGAGGGTCGAATGATTGATAACAAATAACAACAGGAGGGTCGAATGATTGATAACAAATAACAACAGGAGGGTCGAATGATTGATAACAAATAACAACAGGAGGGTCGAATGATTGATAACAAATAACATCATGAGGGTCGAATGATTGATAACAAATAACAACAGGAGGGTCGAATGATTGATAACAAATAACAGCATGAGGGTCGAATGATTGATAACAAATAACAACATGAAGGTCGAATGATTGATAACAAATAACAACAGGAGGGTCGAATGATTGATAACAAATAACAGCATGAGGGTCGAATGATTGATAACAAATAACAACAGGAGGGTCGAATGATTGATAACAAATAACAACAGGAGGGTCGAATGATTGATAACAAATAACAACATGAAGGTCGAATGATTGATAACAAATAACAGCATGAGGGTCGAATGATTGATAACAAATAACAACAGGAGGGTCGAATGATTGATAACAAATAACAGCATGAGGGTCGAATGATTGATAACAAATAACAACATGAAGGTCGAATGATTGATAACAAATAACATCATGAGGGTCGAATGATTGATAACAAATAACAACAGGAGGGTCGAATGATTGATAACAAATAACAACAGGAGGGTCGAATGATTGATAACAAATAACAACAGGAGGGTCGAATGATTGATAACAAATAACAGCATGAGGGTCGAATGATTGATAACAAATAACAACATGAGGGTCGAATGATTGATAACAAATAACAACATGAGGGTCGAATGATTGAGCAAGAATGACAGCATGAGAGTCGAATGACTGAGCAAAAATGACAGCATGAGGGTCGAGTGATCGAGCAAGAATAACAGCATAAGGGTCGAATGAGGTATAAACAGTTCCAGGGTTGAACGACTGGTATACGAAATATCAGACAGGGAGGGGGGGGGGTTGGGTTGATAAGGGTAGGATACAAAATTCACCCTTTGATGCATTGGATCATCATCATCATCATCATCATCATCATCATCATCATCATCAATATTCAATGAAAATATTGATCGTCAGTGGTTGGCGACTACTTCAATAAATCGATACTGCAGTCTGGTATAAATATATATATAGTGTATGTCAGTAATATCAGCACACGTTTTCGTCACATCAACATCAATTATAACTGGTTCATAAACTCATTAATTAGATAGAAACTGATCAATGACTTTTTGATGTATTATGTATAAAGACTATTTCATACTGATCATTAACAAGTTACTGGGAGATATTGACAACAGTGAATACAGTACCATTTCACAGTCTGTGAGCCTAACCAAGCTACCGAACCTGTCAATTACCGGTAAGCCAAGAATATGACGCAGTTAATATGTCCAAGCCGGAGGCTATAGCACGAACACATGTTTATATGAACTGTATGCTTTCTGTAAAATTCATTTTTCTTGATAACAACAATTCAACAATTACATGTACTATTTCGTTTCTGTCTGAACCAACTTGTTGCTTCCTCTAAAATAACCCTTTAGGCCTTAAACACTCGTCTAAATTGGCTTCCGTGTGTCCATGTCGAGGTGTTCTAAATACGTGGATCGATTTTTGTTCAATTTAGATGTTTACTATCCGAACTCCTCAACTTTTCAAATTATCAATACTTGAGATTTTATTCAACTAAATTCTGCATAATGGAGTTAACGTGTTTCTAAAGAACAAATTAAATATTGTCGCACGCCCCAAGTGGATAAAACCTCGGTGTTTTTACATGCCATATCAGAACGGACTAGTTAATTGGGTCTCTGCTGTCGTTTACTTTCTAATCCAAAGCTTGCACATACTGATATATAATTAAAATCCAAGCAAAACCGCGCAGAAAGGTAATCAAAACGGCATGCCGTGCCTTGATGACGTTAACGAGATTATGTGTTTCGATTACAATATCAATGAACGACACAGTGATAGTTTGGGGATTCGTAGTGTGCATCACTGACACTTGTTCCGCCAGAATGCTTAACAGTTGGTTGCGAGCAATTAATATATTACATCATTTGTCAGAGATAATGAGGCAATTTAAAGTTTTATAATTGCAGAGTGGTTACAATGACATTGACGCTCAAATTTCAGTACTGTTGAGATATTGTCGCTTATACTAGGCACGTGAGATTTTAACACGCGAATGTGTTGTATAGTTTTAACATGTATTGTATACTTCCAGATAAAATATCACTGCATTCGATCATCCGCTAGAGCATACATTGGAGATAAAGGAGTTAGCATTCTAATGAAGAATGAGTTTCAAACCCAAGCTTATAGACTTGGTTCCATTTTAACTGCACTGAAAGCCGTAAGTGTAGTTTTGATTTTGAGTTGAGCTCCGAGTTAACCGATTTGCTTTCCTACATTTCTCTAGTTTTTGTCTTTGAAAAGTATGACACTTGCAATTTGGACTGATACATGTACTCACATTTTTAATGTTTTCGCTCACATATTCATATCGTTAATAATTCGAAGTTGCTGTGAACTGTGTATATTATCATTTTTGAGAAAGGTGGGGGAAAAAATAAATGTTGAAATGCTGCGGAGATGCAGATAAGCGGAGGTTGAGGTAAGCGGAGGCAGAGATACGATGAGGTTGAGATAGGTATATGGTGAGACACTTTGAGGTTTGGATAAGTCGAGGTTGAAATGCGCAGATATTTAGTTATTACATGTTGATAAGTAGAGATGAAGATATTGGGTAATGAAGATAAAGAAAGGTGGAGATATGGAGCGGTTGAAATAAGCAGAGGTTGGGGTAAGAGGACGTTGAGATAAGCGGAGGTCGGCAAATAGCAAACATTGTGGATATTGAGATACGTGAGTATATACATGGAGTGCGAGATGCATAAAGAGTAAGATAAGCAGGGTTTCGATACGCGGAGACGGACCTGTACACACATGAGATAGACAAGCGGAAGTGTAGAATTGCGAAGGCTGAGATACGCAGAGATTGAGATCCGATTCGCAAAGGTTTAGAGATGAAAACGTTCAGATAAGGCGAGAGTTGTAATGGCCGGGAGCTGAGAAAAGCAAAATCTCAAATTTGAGGAAGTTGACATCTATGTACCATAACTGATATTTAATGGTCATTTTCAAAAGTATGGGGGCGGGGACTGAGAGCTTTTGGTTAGAGTATACAATACTTTAAATCACTTTAACATTACTTTCTAACGGTGGTACACTAGGTAGAATGTATGTGTGCCATTTTGAACGGTGTACTCTGCTCAAATTGTAGTTTTCCGTTTATGTCTGGAAAATACTGACGAAAGTTGTTTAGACGACTCCATACACCACTCAGACAAAAGTGACAAATAGGACACGGTCCCTTATCGTCTTCCATCTATACAAAATAATCCTTGACGCTGAAATAAGGAAATTCATCTTAACTTCTACTTTTAAATAAATTTCAATGAAATCTAGAAACAGTGGCGATAACCCATTATCAGGGTCCTATAGTGTTTTCTCGATTTCTGTGATCTGTAGTTGTCTGACAACTACATCTAGTCGTACAAGCTTCTCAATAGCCACTCTATTACCATAGATCACTGAAAATCCAGAGCTGTCAACTCTAAGGAAAGCATTTAATATTTTGTCGAGTAGATTTTTGAAATTGTGTTATAATTTAAGTGTGGCCTTGACAATTACTATGCCAGTGATAACGACATGTTATCGATTACAGACAGTTGTCAGTGTCTTGCTGTGCACTTAGTGACATTGTCCTAATCACTGCATACCTACAGATAGGGCGAGCCCACAGTAAGACTCGGCAACCAAACCAATGATTTTACCGACTCCGTCTTGCAGAAAAGAGCCAATTACCACTTTTTCACGCAGACAGTGATAATATTTACTGGAGGTTCGTTAACGACACGCGATTCCCGTCACCTGAAGCATCTACAGACCTCACGCAACTTTACAGTAAAACGCTGTCAAACTTGCATAAAATTATGATATTCATTATTATCACGCAGAAAATTCATTTTGCAGGCATACATAGTAGGACAGATTTCCTAAATAGTTAACACACTGCAGTTGTTGACATTAGAAGTTGAAATATACAGACCATATAAAGCTGAAAGACCACATCAGGTTATTTCTGTGACAATAAATGATCATTACGTTGTAGTTTCAAAGAAAGTCGTAAGAACAGTTTTATTTTCATCACAATTACGTGTTTAGAAATAATGCTGAACTCGAGAGATTTCCCGCCATAGAAGAATATAAA